CAGATGTTCCATGGGGGCTTCCTCCTCCGGCTGCTGACTGACCACTGGAAGCTGGAACAAACACATGTGATCTGGTTATAGATTCATGTCTGTTTTAATGTCAGACAGCATTCAGCACAAGGGTTTGTCATTCTGGATACGTAGTGAGACCAACAGCATTATTTTCAAATTCATTCCATTTCCTGTCCTCTGAGACGCTACAAGACAGTCTTCTCCTGAACGGATGTCTGCTGATTGATGAAATGACCAAAAACTGACACAAAGGGACCACCAGGAGATGTCCAATGACCACAACGAGACACAAAACATTCAGATCCACAAACCATCTGATCAGTTTGACAGAGTTCTGCTGCAGTTTACAGGTCAGAGTTGGGTTTTCACCTTCTTTCTTTACATATATATATATATATACTCATCCTGCTTTATCTCTGTGCTCATGTTCCACATTAACATCAGACTTCAGATCAGGGTTGTGTGTGCACGAGTCCGATGTCAGATCATTTAGACAGAATCACATGTGAAGGAGAACTGTGACAAAACCATTAAAAAACAAAACAGAAAAGACTGAGTTACAGCTGCAGAGAGTCGGTTCATCGTACAGGCTCTTAATGCACATCAGAGTTCTTAATAATGATTTAATTTAACAGTCATCTGAGAGGAGATGCAGGAGCTGAAAGCGATACCTGACAATGATCAGAGTAAACTCTGAGCTGGACTGAACTTGTATCAAATGACCTGAGATCCTCAAACATATCTGTTATTAGTTCTTTGTGAGGATCCTGCTGTGTTTGTTATTGCTAGTTTTATTACTGATACATTAAAGGTGTGAAGTCATGTGACTGATTTCTAAGATCCAAAACAAAATACTGGCATCTGGTCTGTGTGAAACATTTGGTTCTGTTGCTTCTTCTTGTTCTTCTTGTTCTCTCCTTGGACTTCAGTCATGTTTGGACTCATCTGTTGTTCTTCTGGCAGCTTTTGTTCCTGCTCATCAGTAAGTTTTATCAGGTCTGTCTCCACATGTGACTCTACAGGTTCAGAATTCAAGGACCAGAAAACCGAGGTGGCGAGCAGGAGGCTGAATCCAAGATCCAGGCCCAACCACATGGAAAAAATAACACGTCACACAAAACCACCAAAGAAGATGTAAAGTAACTGAAATGAGACACGACGTGACCAAATAAAAAAGTAAAACAATCTAAATTTGATGCGAAACAACCATTAAAAGATTCAAGAATACTTCACTGACGTGAGTCTTGTGGTGTTTCAGTCTAAAGGTGTGCATCAGTGAAGATTCTGTATTTGTGACACTTTTCTTGGACTGACGTTGTTGCTGTTTGCTGCAAGTCTTTCCTTCTTCTGACCTGATGTAAAGCCTTTAAACAACTTCAAAACACAAAAAACAGACAAAACTTTGTAGCAGGTGGATCCACCAGCAGACACGAGTTCTCAGAAACAAACCGCTGTTGACAAACAGATTTGCAGTCGTTTCATGTTTGTTCCTGCAGGTGGCGCTGTGGCTCTAACCTCAACCACCTGCAGCCTCACCAGTTACTGGGCAGAACCTCCAGGACGTGGAACAAATGCAGTTGGGTTAATCCTGTTTTGAAAACCAGCCGGCTAATCTGGATCAAACTGGAACAAACCAACTGTTGAGGAGGTAAAACCCGATCGGGTCGACTCACCTGAACCTCCGGCCGCCGTGGTGGTCTGCTGCCCGCCGAGAGCACCTGAGGAGGGAGATCAGGTGTTCAGCTTGAATACAGCCTCTGTTCATCAGCTCAAGGAATCCAGATTATTCAGACGTGAAGGATCAGTGACGAAAAACTGAGTCATTCTGAAAATAAGTGCGTTTATGTGAACTTCTGCTGTCACATTTTAATAAAAGCTGCTTTAGTCATTCAGGAACACACCAAGAGAATCTCTGAAGTCCAGTTTCCAGCAGATGGAACACTGACCTTCATTTAAGGTTTCCTGATGTCAAAATGTTTAATTCAGGTGTTTATGTAGGTTTATGTGGTAAAGTTAAAGTGTGTTTTAGCTTCTCACCCTCAATCTTATCCTGACTCTTGGAGTCATCATCATCTGAAAGAAAAGACATCCAAAATTTATTTCTCTAATTAAAGAAGTTTAACAGCATTTTATTAAGATCTTCTGTCTGTCTGGTCTTTCTGGGAGTTTTATGATTTAGCACGTTAGTTGTGTCTCTGTTAAACCTCTGAATCTGTCAACAAAACACGACTGTGGATAAACCAGCAGAACTTCAGATTCAGAGACACAAACTGAATCAGTTTACTGCATTTCATCCTGTTGTCCGCCTTTTCTTTCCCTCTTTCTTCAACCTCCTTCTTTCACATCCCACACAAAGTTCACAATAACTGTAAAATCACATGAACATCAAATTACTCTAAACACCTCACAGTAATCAGATTACTCCTACAGCAGGGTACTGTCTCTGATACCAGATTACAAACTACCAGCTCAGATCCACAGATTCACTTCAGGCTCCACAGCAGGAACTAAACTACAGTGAGTCCATCTCTGGTTCCTTCAGTCTTCATCTACTGACAGACTCAGTCCTCCTCAGCATGGAGGAGACCAGAGTCCACTA